AAAGATGAGGATCTGTGACCCAGATGTGGGTAAGAATGAAAGGGGACGGGTTTTCTGGTACAAAGGCAAGGCTATTCTCAAAACTTCTCATCCAGAGCTGAGATATGGCGCACTCATCACACATACATATTCAATCCCTCACTCGTCTCATTTTGTGAATAAACAACGGGGTTTTTCGTGGATGAAAGGAAGACAGACGTTTTATGCTGGAATACCGGGAGGTCTATGTGCAAGCAACCAACGACAGAGTCGTTACACCCAATTAGCTTCGTTAGAGGGCCTTGAGGAAGTTCCACGGGCTATTACAAGTGAAACATAAACGCCAAATCAACTCCGTGAAATACAAAACTCGATTTTTTTCTCGACATCACACGTTCATCTGGAGAAACAGCCGTCAAGTCATTTGTCATCAATATTTTCGTTAATTCGAAAAACATCACTCAAAAATTATTTTCCGATGGCAGAAATGACTCCGAGGGCCTTCGCATGTCTGTAAATTTTTAGCCTACGACTGAAAAATTTTTTACTGCATTTTTTACAACGACTAAAAATCTCGGACGGCTCGGAATTATTATTCCAGACGCGTCGGCACAGGGTTTAAGCATTAAGTAGTCGGTTTCCGGTGTCGCAACGTGTCCCAAGCGCAGTCAGAAAGTTCACTGAAGCAAAATACACATGTTGAAGGCACCGAGGGAGCGAGAGGTGGGGAAAAAAGGGTGGAATCGATGGATCGAACGATCGACAAACTCAATTCCACCCGATAATCCGGTCTCTGTCGAGTTGCCTATTTCCGGGGGCTGCCGAGGCTACTGGGTCTACGTTATTTTCATTTCTTCAATTTTTTTTTTTCATTTCATACCATCCAACTCTAGTCCTGTCACTCCTCTGTGCATTACTTCCTGACACGAGAGGGAAAAACTGATGACGATCCAATTTGTCAGATGTCAAAATTCGTTGAATCGATTTCCGAAATATTTTCGCTCGGTTTCAGATCAAATTTCAGAACTAGTGATTTTTTTTTTGGGGGGCATAACGAGGAGAGAATATTCTGATATTTAGGAGAGGATGGTTCAATATTGAAAAGTGAAGTAATCGAGAGCAATTCTTCTTATTTAAAAGATTCGTCTTAGACGTGTGCGATTATTTCTAATTCTGTCCATAACTTGACATTCGCAGAGTGAAATTAAAAAAATCTTGAGTCGTTTTAAAGCTGTCTTCATACACATTAAGTGTCTACAAATTTATTCAAATCGCATCATTTTTAGTCAGATCACATCAAAGAACAGGATTTCTGCCCGGAGCGTCCTAGGCGTGTGCGATAATTTTCAATTGTCCATAACTCGACATCCGCAGAGTGAAATTAAAAAAATCTTGAGTCATTTTCAAGCTCTTGTCATAAACCGCAAAAACCTTCAATTTCATTTAAATCGCGCCGTTATGCCCCACCTCTCGCGCCTCCCTCCCGAGCCCACAGGGAGACCAAAATCAGAGTTACGATATTAAAACCCAAGAAGAAAAATTATCCTATCCTCTCTTTCCCCAAAATATCCAAAAAATAATTCACCCCACGTATTGCACATGCTTTACCCGTAATCCCAATCGAAAACTTTGAAAGGAAAATAAAATTCAAGCTCGCAAACCAGTGTGTTACCCGTCTGGTTATAGGATAAGCCTTGAAGCATTGAAGATGCGATCGGTATATTCGCAGAGAGACCCCAATGAATTATTCAGACGATCTACGGGCAGTCGTTTACCGATGCCTGGGAGTACGCCAAAGGTAACCCGTTGAATCCTAGGTAGAGAAGAAGGAAAAATCCAGTCGCGCGAGGAAAGGAGCAACAGAGAGACGAGAGTCAAAGTAAAAAAAAATATAATGGTAAAAACATTCGTTATGCATCCAAGTTTCTTCTCCACCTCTTGGACTACCATGAAATAGTAATTCTACGAAGGGGGAGGAGGGGTTTCATTCGGCTCCCGAGTGCCTCGTAGAGTCGATTTATTTTATCCAATGGGCGCCAATGGCGAGAGAAAACATTAAATATTTATTTAACGGAAAAAAATTCGCTTCGGTGGATGTTTCGGCTGGAGGGGGTGAGAAGTATTTGAATTTGGCAATGGTACAAAATGGATGGAATTTATTAAAAAAAAAAAAAAAAATGTTGATTTTTTTAATGAACAATTAAAGCGAATGAATCGCCTTTTTAGGGCTTATTCTGTTAAATATGCAATTATTTCGAGGGTGAAGGGTTTTAGGGGAAAATGTGACACAACATTTTTTGTAGGAAATTGAATTCTCTACAAAAAAGGTCCTGAGATGTTTTGGTCTAAAATACATAGTTTTCGCGATAAATGCAAAAATTATGAAAATATTGGGTTTCGGTAATTTGAGTTTATGGAATTACAATCTCCCTTCTATTTCAACGACATCGGAAAATTATTTTCGACGTTTGACCCCACGAAATATCAGTAGAAACCGACCAGACGAACGATAATCCCGTGTTTACCGCAGATTTATCGATGAAAAATTCACTCTCACGAGTTTTTGTTATTTCGCCGTGAATAATCGGAAAATAATGGGAATTTAATTAAGGATTTTTTAATTTTCACACTGGAGGAAGTAATGAGTGTTATTGCGAGGCTCTGGGTGTGCCCCGAGGCCCCCCATTCCTCAACTGGTTCTGGAGAGTTGAGAATTACTCCAGAGGATTAATTTATTGCCTGAAGAATCCAAAAAGTGATTTTTATCCCGAAAAATTACAAAAAGTCAACAGTTTTTTGAGGGACCATACACTGAGAGAAAAACAAACACTACTAAATCTACTTTTGCGACAAAAATTTTTCATTCCGGCGCACTCTCCTCTGCACGTTTGGCACAAAAAAAATCCTCTTTTGATAATTTTCAAAAAACTATTTTCACGGCACAAGCAGGACTTGTCTGAGAACTTTGTCGTTTTTCTCTCAGTGTAGTCTCAAAATTTCAAGTCCACGCATTATCTTCTATTTTTCTAAAAAAAAAAAAATTACGACAGAGAAAAAGGAAGGGCCTTTGATTAACGGTTCACCTTCATGACGAACGATTTAATTCGCAGGTCTGGAATTATAATAACAGCCTCTCTGGGGCACAGTGAGGAGAGGCCACAAGGAAAGTGGAGGATTTAACAGGTAAGGGAACGGTTTGAAGGTCGACACGAGGATGAAATGGATTGAGAATTCGTGTGTGCGAGTTACAAAACCTGCCACAAGGCACTAGACGGATGAGAGTAAAATCTCATCTCTCGTTCTTGGAATTCCCTCGCGAGGTTGAAGGAAGAAAAAAAGACATTGGCCAACAGCAGGAAAAAAAAAATTAAAATTGATTGAGTTCTAGGGGGAAAAGGGCCGGAATTAACAGGAGCAAAAGTTACTTTGCGGCTTTTCAACGGCTTTTTTCTTCGTCCTTCTACCCTAATTTATTGGGGAAAATGAGAATCTGTTGTGGAGAGACGCCATAAACGCTGCATTTCCTCACTGCNCCCCCCCCCCCCCCCCCCCCCCCGGCCCGTCCCATTTACTCACTTATATCTAACGGTAGAGACTCCTACCGTAAGCTTTCACAAAATTTATCGCTCAAAACCACAGGGGGAAAATGTGCCCCACGTAAATTTTGAATATTAGATTCACGTTTTGATACATTAAATTATGTTTCACAATGTCGAGACAATTATCCAACAATTAACAACGGGGAAATAACTAAAAGTGAAAGTTTATGGAGTTGTTCATTAAGTTAATTCATCTTTCGTGAGAATTACAATTGCAGAACTCGTTGGGGGTCTTTGTCTGTGTTGATAAAAAATATTGGGGGTCATTGGCGACCCCAGAGGACATGTGAAATATTGATAATTGATTGTATGAGACAGCAATAGTCGGGAAAAAATTATTCACGAGGAAGAAATTCAACTGAATTCATCTGTTCCATTGAATTTTGCAAATTTTCACCCCATTTTATTCAATAAAATGCATCTTGGGGTGATTATCGACCCCAGGCCCTTTACCGAGTTCTCATTATACCGCGGAAAAATGATACGATGGAGCAATGCATTTTTTTATTGTCCCAAGATAAAAGAGATATTATGGCATCCAATTACTGGTTTCTAGATACTGTCGATAAGCATTGAATATGCTGGCCTCCCTCTACCCTCTCAGTGTGTTGTAAGAGGGTACATGAGAGCGGTTTGAGTGGGACAGACATAAAAGGACAGGCGCATGCTTGTGATATCGATCCCCCAAGTGGAAACTACGATAAGCTCATATATACCCTCCCTTTCAGGTTATACATACGTATAACGATTGACGCTGCGAAAATGTTGCGAGAGATAGGGTCTTAAAATGCATCGAAATTGGATATTGGAATGTGCATTTACGAATATTACGTTATCTTCGTGGATGAATTGATTTTTTTATTGTTTTTCACAGCTCAGATTTTTTTCTTTGCTTCTGGCTGAGGGGCAAATACTTCCGAGGATTAAACAATAATCCTCAAGCAATAATCCTTGAAGGTCGCCTGACCCTCAGTTCGAAACAAATTTTTTCATACTTTCAAAATCGATTATCTAATTAATGAGTGGGTTTAGAGGAAAATACCACTCGACATTTTTTATAGGAAATTCGATTCTCTAAAAAAAATTTCTTGTCATATTTTGCCCTAATTCCACTCATTGCTGAGATAATTAGACATTTGAAAAAAAAATTATTTTGATGCAATTTTCAAAAAATTGATTTCTCGCATTATCTTCGTCATCAATTATCTCAGTAATGAGTGGATTTAGCGAAAAAACTGATAAGAGATTTCTTCAAGAAAATTTAATTCTCTACAAAAAATTCTCGCAACATTTTCCCCTAAATTCAGTTGTTCCGAAGATAAACCCAAAATAAACAAAAAAAAATCAATTCCATCAATCACGTGTTACCACATGGCAACAGAAACAATTCCTCCACTCTCTTCAACATCTGCACTGACTCACCCGAATACCACAGCTATAATCATTGAGTCCACTTACCTGAAACAAATAAAAACCGAAAAACATTGAAAAAAAAATTCGATACACCTGTGAAAAATGGAATAGCCACCCGGAGGCAGTCTTAACAATGAAAAATTGGATTGAATTTCACTCGATGATTGGAATCAGTGTGTCTCAAAGCCGACGAAAATACCGAAAAAAGAAAAATGAGGAAGGCCCTTCCGGTGGGCACGGTCAAATCTCCAAGAGCCCAGCCCGTGATCCAATATGGCACGAGGGAATAAAACCCGTCTCGAGGGGATCTCTGCCATCCGGCAGTCCCACACACACACACTCACACACACATGTCTCCAGATTATATAGCCCCGAGATCTTTCCCGATATCAAGATTGGCTTCCACTGCCCGAGTAAAATCAAAGAAAGCCACTTTTAAAAGAAAAAAAAAATGCAATAAATTTCTCTCCTCAATTTTCCAAATTAAAAAAAAATCTGATTTTAAAAAAATTCCATTCATTGGAGGAAAAAAAATCATCAACTCATAAAAAATAAATTTCAATGGCTCCTTGACTGTGTGAAGCCACGTGACCTTCGGACGCGAAATATTCAACAATTTTTCACTGTTTTCATTTTTATCTTGAGTGCGAAAAAGAAACAGCGGCTGTTGGTACTAAAACACTGGTCTCTTTGTGCCGGTACTAAAACGTTGAAATTCCCACACGATTTATGAGTTCAAAGTACTGATACCCTCGACGATGACCCCGTCATTATCTCCCCCCTCAACATTTGTGCTCAATAGTAATGAAAGAATTGGTTGATTCAGTTTAATTCGAGTACTGAAATTCAATTCTACCAAAGGAGAACGAATTGAGATGAAACCGAATGAAAAAGTCATTAGGAGATGATGAGGTAGAATGGGCTGGCTAAAATAGTCGGTATCTGGTGATTGAAACGATACGATTTCGATGGGATACGTCTCGTTTTGAAGGTTGAAGAAATACCTTTGAAATGAAAAAAAAATTGTCTAAATTCACTCTGCCGATGTCGAGTTATGGGCGATTGAAGAGGTAGGTTTTATACCCCAAGTGGTAAAGTCTACCAATCTATGTGGGGGTTGTGGTAAATCTACCGAGTGTCGAGTCTACCGAAGAAGAATCAAATATTGTGCGATCATGGCTGCCCTGAATTTCGTAAACATGACAAGTCTACCCACATGCGCATCTACCATCAAGTCTACCGTGTGTCAACGAGTATAATTGGTAGAGATGACAGTAACTCTACCGGTAGAGTCTACCAATAAAGTCCATCGGTGGAGTCTGCGAATTATTCAATTGTATTCATTTGTTAATATAAAAAATAGAAGTTATAACGGGCAGAGTTGATAGTAAGTCTACCGGTGAGATCTACCAACCAAGTCTACCCATTGCCTCTAACAGAAAATTCTACCAATTATCTCATCATATTTATCCTTCCCTTCCGAAAAAATGAGATGGGTTCAGTTGATCGACTTGGGCGGTAGTCAATTTAAAAAGCCAACTGGTAGATGCGACTGGTAGATTTTACTGTCAACTCTATAAATTATGGTCATTCGTTAAAAAAAATGAACGTCAAAGTTGGTAAACTCAACTGACGAATTATCCATAAATCTGTTCTTTAAAAAAATTGAATGGGAATCATTGGTAGACGCGCCAGGTAGATTTCCCATAAATCTACCAATCATCATCATTGTAAAAAAATTGAATAGGCATAATTAGTAGAGTTGATTGACAGATTTTCCATGAAATGCCCCTTCTGTGCCACCCATTGGTTTTATAACCATCATCGGTAGAATAGGCTGGTAGATTTATCTGCGGGTAGACTTGTCAACCGTCAAGTATTTTCTCTAGAAAATCACCAAAGAGTCATAAAAATCCCATAAACTACACATTTCTAACTTCAATAATTCCCAAAAATCCAAGCCGATAAGCCAGAACACCTGATAAGACGACTGAAAATGAAACGAGACGAAAGAGAAACGAGAGTGAGATTGCGCGAATTTCTATGGCCGACCGAAGGTCAGGGTCGTGACCCAGTCGGTAATACAGTAAAAAAAAATCCCAAATTTTTCCTAATTATCCCCCCAGCACAAAATTCGAAAAATTGTCTCCAGAATTTTTCTTTTAAATCAGTACATTTGTTTTGGTTTTTCATCGATTCTCTGGGTGAACGAAGAAGGTGGTGAAGAAAATTTTTAAACAGCTTTGAAAACACCGCGTCATGATGGCGTCGGTGTGCGCGAGGCCGTTTGGTCCGGGGTGTGCTCCCGGATGACTTAAAGAGAAGCTGCGACTCCATTGGATCGATACTCTCACCCGGAGGCTGCTGGGCGCTCTCTCGCCAGCATGCCTTTTACGTACTCAAAGTACACATAAACGTTTTCGAGGGGAAGGGGAGGGGGGGTTACATACGTGAGTCAGTGGATACCGCGCAGTATGCATGAGTAAATGATACTGGGGGGATAACATAAAATCAACCCCCTTTGGTGGACCGAAAATACGTCGTAAAACTTGCCAAACTACGATTCCATCAAACGTTCGACAGTATTTCTCCGTTTTTTTTTTATTTGAGGAAGTTTTTGTTGGCGGTTAAGGCGAGATTCGAAACAATTTTTGAGGAGAAATGTTTCAAACTCTCTTTACGGAGTTTATAAATAAATTTTAGGTTGCCAAGTTTTGAATGGAATTGTGAAGGGGAAAATTTTCTACGGGGAAGAGTGTGTGGAGGAACGAATGAATTTGAATTCTTCTTTAGGTTTAACTGCAAGCAGTAGAAAAGGTGGGGCAAAACGGTGGAATTTCAATGAATTTGGAGATGCAGGGAGTTTATGAATAAATCTTCAAAATGACTGAAAATTTTTGAAATTTTACTCTGCGGATGGGGAGTTATGAACAATTAAAAATTATCGCACACGCCTAAGAAGCTTCTAGACACAGAAACGATAAATTAATTTGTTCTAAGCAAAAATGATGCGATTTGAATAAAATTAAAGGTGTTTGAAGTTTATGAATAAATCTTCAAAATGACCGAAAATTTTTGAAATTTCACTCTGCGAATGGGGAGTTATGAACAATTAAAAATTATCGCACACGCCTAAGACGAAACTTTTGGACCAAAAAGAAATATTACTTGATCATTCTTTTCACAATGAAATTTGCTACGAATTTATGAAAAGATTGACAACTACCCGTCAGTAATTTTCCCCACTGGCTGTAGCGTATTCCACTGATCATCTAGCTCCCTCAATAGCGGAAAAAAAAACTATTTTCATGTGGCGAAAGCACAAAGGAACTGTACAGACACGTGGGAACGTGCATTTGTAGTTGTCGCGATGAAGAAGAAAGGGTTTTTTTTATTCTTCCGAGGGAAGAAAAGCAATGAGAGGAAAAAAACGGAGCCAAGAAGAATGGAATGAAAGCGGCGTCTACTCGTGAATCACTGGGATGACGAAGGGTTCACGCTCGATGGCGACGTAACGGTACCCCTAGTGTACGATTCACGTACACAATTGTTGGCTCACACACATGTGCGGGAGAACGCGTTTTTCCGGAATAAGTGCGAGAACTTGAAATAGAGAGATAAAAGAGAGGGGAAATGAAATACAACGTGACATCAGTATTTTCACGCTACCCTTGGATGATGAAATATACTCCACTCGGAGGGTTCAGACACTGGCAAAAGCCGGGATTCTCGTCTCCATTAAATCATGCGAACTGAAGGACAGAAATTTTACAGATAAAAATAATGGGGGAGGCCGGGGCAAAGTGAAGCGGTAGTGAATTTCATTGTTTGAAGGTCAAATGGGAGAGATAGACGAAAGGGTCAAGAAGGTCACTTCACTCGTCTCTCCCATTAGACCCTCAAGGACGTTCGGCCCTTCCGACTACTTTGCTCGTCTCTCCCGTTTAACCCTTAACAAAATTTGACCCTCTACCTGTCTCCCGATTGACCCTTTTCGTTGTTTAAAGGTCAAATAGTCTTGAGGGTCAAATGGGAGAGACAGGCCGAGAGGTCAAGGTCACTTCAAGAAGGTCACTCCACTGATCTCTCCCATTAGACCCTTAAAAAGGTTCGACCCTTCTCACTCCTATGCTCGTCTCTCCCGTTTAATCCTTGAGAAAATTTAATCATCCGCTTGTCTCTCCCGGTTGACCCTTTTCGTTGTTGAAGGGTCACTCTTGAAGGTCAAACGGGAGAGACAGGCGGAAGGGATCGAAAGGAACAAACTTTCTTGAGGGTCAAATGAGAGAGACAGGTGGAGGGGTCGAGGTCATTTCGCTCGTCTCTCCCATTAGACCCTGATCACTCTGCTCGCCTCTCCCGTTCGACCCCTTCTTTGTTTAAGGATCAAACAGTCTTGAGGGTCAAACGGGAGCGACAGACAGAGGGATCAAAAAGGTCACTTCACTCGACTCTCCCGTTTAACCCTTGAAAAAATTGACCCTCCACCCGTCTCTCCCGTTTGACCCTCATCATTTTTTTGACTAATGAAAATGAAAAAACAGTTATCTGAATTTTTCTCTACATTCATTTTTCGCAAAAAAAAAAAATTTCTGCCTCGTCAGCAATTTTGTGTTCATCCTCCCGACATTTCTCGTTACCAAGACAAGATTGAAACACATTTTTCGGGATATAATTAGAGTAAATGTTGCAGGAGAAATGAAAATCACTATAGCAATGCGAAATTTCGCTGGAGGAGAGCCAAGTGTCTCGCCGAGTACAAGTAAAAGACCTGTCGAGAGAGGGAGGCAAGCTCCTTGGCGTGTTCCAGCTGCGTCTGGGGAAATGTACAATTACTTAACCGATATAAAATTACCATAAACTCATAAGGAGACTGTCTCATTCCGTTATTTACTTATAAAAATCTTATTCACGAAATTTCAAAAAACCTCAGCTCAACAAATCCGCAAAAAATTTTCAAGAACCTCTGTCACACTGACCCCCCGAATAACAAACCGACATTCAATAATATTGTTTTCTTACAAAAAAAAATTAATCCGATAATTTAATAAATAAAAGCGCCGTGGGAATTTGTGTTATCGATGAAAAAAAAGAATTCAAAGATGATTTAATGATTCTAATGATGTAAATGTTTCAAGAATGCAATAAAAATCACAGGAATTTCGATAATTTCATCATCAATGATGTCTTCACACTGGATGCGCCGACAGGTACATCGGGACGTGCCTGAGGACGTCACAATATTGCGAAATTAAATGAAACAGACTGGACGAAAAGAGGAACCTCCACCGAGGGCACCGGTAATTGCGTGGTTGGATCGTTTCGCAGCTGCGGCGAGAGGTGATTCGGGGAGAGTTGCGGGGGGGGGGGGCGGAGAGGGGTTATGTACCCTGTCGGGCAATCGAAGCGCGTAATAAATTGCCGGGTGCTCTGGAATGACCAAGTTAATCGATTTGTGATTCAATTTTTTTTCGTCGTTCAGAAATTCTTCCTCCACCGGAAAAACAGGATGAATATATATTTTTTTTTTCAGTGAGACTTGACTGTTGCAGATGTTGCTAGACCTGCCCTTGGAATATTTAGGGTCTTCTGCTTATTGGAGGACCCGTAAGATTTCGCGGCGGACGGACATTTACGAGCGTCTCCTAGAGACCCAGTGCCAGCGGAATACCAACACTCGACAATTCCTCATTTTATGATCCCTGGGTGTGCCATAAATCATGAAAATGTGATTGTTAAAAGTAGGAGAATGATAAATCAATGGGTACAAGTGACGATTTTATTTTTGAAAATAAAAATAATTTTGAAAACTGCAATTTTACACTTGTTTTTATCTTTTGAAGGAATGTAAAAAGAAGAATAAAAATTATCTCTTGAACGAATAAGAAATTGACCAAAAAATGAGGAAAATATTTTTTTTTTTAACGGAAATTTTAAATCAATCTGAACACGTGACGATTTTATCTTTAAAAATGAAAATAATAATTTTTAAAACTGCAATTTCACACTTGTTTTCATTTTTTGAAGAAATGTAAAAAAGAAGAATAAAAATTATCTCTTGAACAAACAAAAAATTGAGCAAAAAATGAGGAAAATATTTTTTAAAAAGCGGAAATTTTAAATGAACGGGAACAAGTCACGAATTTGTCTTAAAAAATAAAAATAAAAATTCTAAAAACCCGAATTTCATCTCTATTTTCATCATTTCAATAGATGTAGATGAAAAAACAATAATTATCTCATTTAAAAAATCAAGAAATTGGCCAAAACATGAAAAGAACATGCGATTACAAAAATAGCTAATAAAAATTAACTTATTTTCAACTTTTCAACATTCAGATAAAACTAAATACACTATCCCAATAGCTCATAAAGTGTCAAAGAAAAATGGAGAAAACGACTCATTCTGCCCCGCGAGTTGAGTAAAAAAAATACCGCAAAAACAATCTGGAGTACTGAATTAATTATCACACCACTAATTGCGTAAAAATAATTGCTCAACGAATGTATCCAGAAGGAAATCCAAGTCTCGTCTGGAAAAAGCAGCTGTGAACATTATCCAGCTCGTCACCCAACGCATAATCACGTTTTTCTGTTAAATTTGAAACCAGGCACGCTCATAACTAGATGTTTACGACTCACTCCGAGGGAAAATTAACAGCTAAATTAAAATTTTAACGGTCAAGATTGCGATATCCCTGGTCAAATAGTCTTCACAATAGTCAGATGACCGTGCGAAAAATACGAAAACAATGTTGATGTAAATACGATGAATATTGAGTTGTGGAATTATCGAGGGAGAAATAAATTGCGGAATAATTGACTCGAATTAGTGATTATCTTCATTTTGTGATTTTTATTCTTCGATTCTAAGAATTCTTCATTTTTTCAAATGCTCATATCTCCGGAGCTACGAGGGTTACACTGTCCACCGGGTGCTCAAAATCTCCGTATTTTCAAGGGCTTCAAACGACTTCGAGTCGCTTTTGGTCGTGTGTCCAACCGTTCTCCCGTAAATGGCCAAAAACGAAGGCAATGATGGGAAAATTGGCAGACGCGAGTAAGACAAAAATAACGATTTTCTACCCTCGATATCTCGAGATCGGCAGAGTGAAATTCGACGAGTCACATCTCATTTTGAAGAGCGTAAAAACACCCTTAAACTGAGTTGTGACACACGGAAATCGGACCATTGGGTGACAAGATATCCAAGAATGGAGACGATGAGTTCAAAAATATTGTATCAACGAATGGAAAAACGAAATAGCCAATGAATATTTGAACTAGAATCAGCCGTAAATTATAATACATCCGCGAATCTGAATAATCTAGCAGTTACGTGAGCCCCGAGAGGTTTCACGCGCTCGATAGCACGTGGCAACAGCTTCCTCTCCATTTCCCTCCGAAAAATTCGAAGTAAAAACTAATTAAAACCGAAAATTCTCGACTAAATATTCTCTTCCTCGAAGGAATAAACCATTATACGGAGAAAATATCCCCTCAATGCACTCATTTGAGCACCACGGAGGTGAAGAAAGGTCGACATTTCATTGTGTGCGAAATTCAATCCGTGTATACCTGAAAAACTGAGGGGTACGGAATAAAGGACCCAGTGCCCGCACGTTGTCGAATTGTTCAAGGCGAGTTTTACCTGGAAAGGAAGCCCTTTTGTCCCGTAATTCCTCAACCCGGGGGATTACCCAAAAATTTTACACCATTCCTCGACTCAGCTGGACAATTTTCAGTGTTATTAGAAAAACAAAAGTTATTTTATTGATTTTATCAAGTTGAAAATGGAATATTTGTCATCGGAAAATCCAATCTAGGGGACCTCTTAGGGGTCTAAGGATGAAAAAAATATATGACAATTTTTTTTCAAGTTCAAACGAGTTGGCACGTGACTTGAAAATATTTTAACACCTTTATAATTCCTTGAATCAAATTTTTCGTGAGTTGAAACTTGCAAAAAATTCAATCTAGGGGATTTTTGAGTCTTAAAAGCGTAAAAATAACGAGAAACTTTTTTTTTTCAATTTCCAAGCGATTCAATAATATTTGAACACCCCTAGAACCCCCTGAATCGAATCTTTCGCGAGCTGAAATTATCAAAAACTTCAATGCAAAAGATTTTTAAAGGCAAAAAAGTCTTTATATCATTAAAAAATATTTTTGCACCCCTAGAATCCCCTGAATTGAATTCCTCCCGAGTTAGTTATAAACAAATTCAATCTAGGAAATTTCCAAGGACATTGTAAAGCGCAAATAAAAATTATTTTTTCAAAATCAAATGAGTTCCCATATAATTAAAAAAATATTAACACCCCTAAAATCCCCTAAATCGATTCTTTGGCGAGATGAAATTATCAGAAAAATCAATCTATGGGATTTTAACCATCACAAGTGTTAAAAAAAAGTAAATAATTTTTTTTTCCAATCCAAACGAGTTTCCATACCATTAAAAAATATTTAACCACCCCTAGAATCCCCTAAATTGAATTTCTCCCGAGTTAGTTATAAAAAAATTTAATCTAGGGAATTTCTAAGGGCACTGTAAAGCGCAAAAAAATTATTTTTCAAACTCAAGTGAATTTCCATATAATTAAAAAATATTACCACCCCTAAAACCCCCTAAATCGATTCTTTGGCGCCATGAAACTATCAAAAAAATCAATCTAAGAAATTTTTAAGAGTCACAAGTGCAAAAACAAGTGAATAATTTTTTTTTCAAACTCAAACGAGTTCCCCTGCAATTAAAAAATACTCAAACGCCCCTAGAATATTCAAACACCCCTAAAAACGCACTTTAGGGGATTTTTAGGGGTCTAAAACCAAAAATTCTTGTCCATCATTTTCACCAGAATAAAATTTGCACATCCCTCAAAAAGCCTCCCCTAGATCCCCCTAGACCCCAAAAATTCCACCGCCACTCCATCCTTCGCCTCTAAAAAAATACATTTCCACCAAAAAAAAGCCCTGGTTTCACTCAGCTACAAGCGCTGGGGCCTTCTGTATTTCAAGGATAAAGAGAAAAACACACGACGGATGGAATGACAATGGCCGTTTGAAAATATCAGACATGCTGTGGCGCCGAGCGGGGCCGCCCGGGGGTGGGGGGGAGGGGGGGAGCGGGGGGGAGAGAGGAAGGGAGGGAGTATCGAACGTCGAGTACCCGACGCGACACGAGCGAACATAACCTCAACTCCCCTCGTTGATTTATCTCCCCAAAAATTCGCGTTCCCAAGCGCCAAAAAACCGTTAATTCCCCCCCAAACCTCTCCTCCACACCTCGCAAGCCCCAAAATATCTCAAAAAATCCCCTCAAACCGCTAAAAAATGATCATTCAATCTCCAAAAAGCGTGAGAAAAAAAAATTCCCACTCATATCGGAGCAGCGATGCCCCAAAACGCCAGAATAAATCGAAAATAAAAATAGGATAAGCGAGGAAAAATGGGTTTTTGAAGTGAAGAGCGCATTTGGAGCACTAAAAATTAATTGACGAAATGTTTAACAATAAAAAATACAACTTACAGGGTAGTACATCCCTTGTGGAGGAAGAAAGAACGCCCCAGAGCCCCACAGTTTGAGGCCGTTTTGCTCCACTGTTCCGCAGAAAAATACAAATGGATCTCAAATGATCCTCTCCCACACACTCAACTCCACAACGAAAAAAAAAAAAAATCGAAAATCCCCTATTCAAGGATTTCAATCCAAAATTTCACAAAACAACTCAACAAAAAAAATAATCGAAATAAAACCGGTTTTTCCCTCGTTATATCTCTCCTTTACGCTTATCACTTCACAATATTATTTGAACAGACGAAAATTCGTATTTCCCCGTATCTCGTGATTTTCAATTTCACTATTACTTGTTTATTTATTTGCTGAGGATACGGGGGATGACACAGAACCAACAGAACACACAGAGAAACGAAAAAAATGAGGGACTCGCGGTGGCACGTATCACGCGAAAATACATCAATTCACTGTTTTACTTTATCTCTCGCGGGATTTTTTTCTCTTTTTTTCCTTTTTTCGAGCGAGGGATGTGTGCTCTCCGGGTTTATTCGCTTTGTCTATTGTTGCCGATTTGATCTCGTGGCTTTTATTGGATACAAACACGCGCAATCCGTCGCTTGCTGGGGTCTCCTTGCGACTGAAAATGTGTGTGCGGGTTTTGCCGGCAGTTTGGGGCAGCGGCGCCACTTGCGGTCGCACTGCGCAGCCACCGCCGCGCCTCTGCCATATTTGAGGGGCGAGAGGGCGGAAGGGGGAGAGGGTAAGGGGGCGGAGGGGAGGGTGATGATTTCAGATGAGGTTTTCTGGGCGATGCGGATTAGGGGAGATGGTCGGTGCTTGGCTTTTTTTTTTTAGTTTTTGCGATTTTTTTTTGATTGGGGATTTTTGGGGATCTAGGGGGGCTAGGGAGGACGGTAGATGCTCAAAATTTTTGGATTTTCGAGGGGTTCATTTTGTTTGCGGGGGGTTTTATGGGTAGGAAAACGGTTCACGAGCTAATCGTGGAAAACGAAAGGGAGGGTAAGGACAATTTGAAGAGGGAGTAGGGAATGAATTATGATTTTTGATTGGAGATTTTTGGGGATCTAGAGGGGTCATGGGGGGCGGTAGATGCTCAAAATTTTTGGGATTTCGAGGAGTTCATTTTGTTTGCGGGAGATTTTAGTCGTGTGGAGAACTGTTTTCGAGTTATTTGCAAAAAACGGAAGGGTAAGAAAATTTAAAAAGGGAGTGGAAAATAAATGATGGTCTTTGATTCAGTATATCTGGGGATCTAGGGGGTCTAGGGGGGGCTCTGAGTGCTCAAAATTTTCCTATTTTCAAGAAGTTCAAATCATCCCTAGAAAGTTTTGCTGATATGTCCCCCGTTCTCCCACAAATTCCAAAAAACCAAAACAAAGATTCCAAAAATCATGAAAAATTGCACACACAACAATCTCAAATTTTGAATATCTCGGCATCGGCAGAGTCGAATCCCCCCACTGACCCGTCATTTCAACGCTCCTCTCTTTCCCTTCAAAATAACCGCCAGCTCATTAAAATCCCATCGCCCAATCAGCCCGCATAAAAAGGGAAAAACCCCCCCAGTTTTTCTAATTTCCTTATTCCCAATAAAAATTACAATTCCCATCTATTTAAGTTGATTCCGTCGATATAAATACCGGATGTTTCGTCGATTGACCCAATTTACAAACGTTGTACCGAGTTTGTAATGCCGGTTGGAGATATCGACCTAATGTCCCACCGGACTGTCTCTCATTCACTCCTGGGAGACAAAGTGCTATAACAGATGAAACTCTGTGGGATTATATCACGCTCCCTGAGGCTAACTCCCTTCAGCCCCCTCCAACCCCTAGTCCATTGTAACTAATACACGGGTGTTTATATCGTGATGCATGCGGAATATCACGGGAGAAAATGCGTTCAAACTAGCTCAACCGTGATACGCGCGTTTTCATTTTTTTTTCCCTCGAGTTTTTTTCTTGCTTTTGCAATTTTTTTTTTTTTTTTGCTACTGCGGTCGATGCAGACTCACGGGGTTTTCATGCACGCCTTGCCACCTACAAAACTACCTTCCACACTAATAAAATCCACGATGCTCAGAGCCTGCAATAACCTCATATTAAAATTTATACGCAAAGGGGAATGGGAGGAGAATTTTTTCCACTCGGTATTTTGCATTCGACAGGTTTTTTTTTTACTCTAGGTAATTTTGGGGGGGAAATGCGAGGGAAATTGGTTGTGGAGTTTTTTTATTTCCTATAGTTTCAGAATTTTTTTTGTAAGTTTTTTTTTTGACTTTGGACTTTATTTTTTAATTATCTTTATTTTAGTGTTTATTTTTCAATTAGAAGAACGAAGAAATCTGTTTTTGAAGTGCGGATTGTATAGATTTTGTTATAATGAAACTTTTTGTTAAGTTTTTAAATTGATAAATTGTTTTTTCTTCAATTTATGAATTTAATCGAAATAGAATTTTTCAGGTTTGTTAAATGTTGAATTATTGACATAACGAGTGGAGCTAGGTAAAAATATTATAGAACTTTTTTTTAGAGAATTAAATTTTCAATAAAAAAAGTCTTATGACATTTTCCCCTAAATCCACTCATTACTGAGATAACTGATGGCAAAGATGACGAGGAAAATCAATCACTTGAAAATTAAATTTTTTAAAATGTCCTCTCATTTATTAAAACAATATATTGTTCTCTCATCTGTTAAATGTCTAATTATCTCGATAATGAGTAGAATTAAAGGAAAACATCATGGGAATTTTTCGTTGAGAATTTAATTTCCCATAAAAACTGTCTGAGTTATTTTAAAATTAAAAGAACGAAAAAATGTTGTTACGATGAGTTTATTTTTATGAGAAATTCTATTTTTATATATATATATATATTTTTTTTAATGTAGTGCTTTTTTTATTGATCAATTATTCTCGAGTGTTTAAATGTCATTTTTCAATTACAGAAAACGCAATTTTTTCAATAGTTAGAATCAATTATTAAATTTCTCCAATTTGTAATTTTATTTCAGCATCAAATACCCCAATTTTCCGTACTTCTATCTCGTATTTTAACCGCACGGTGTATCACCCACAAATGCCCCGCCGAGAGAAAAAAAATCGAATAAAACAGCGAAATTAGAAAGAACTTTTTCAATATTTCAAGTCAAACTTTGGATATTAAAAAAATCCGTGTCTCGTGTAGCTGATGAAGAAATAATGGAACATGTCTTCAGTAGTGTTGGCGGGGGGCTCTAATGGCTCGTCCAGCTGACACGGATGCCGGTACATTCATTCAATTCATCCTTTTTATTTTCATTAAACGAATGCCCGTATCGTAATCCCCCTCGGGATTTGAAGATAAATAAAAACTGATGGAAAAAATGTGTTTCGCTGCGGAAAAGTGTGTAATGCACCTATCCCTCACACGAAATGAGAATGAATATTGAGGTAATGTGTCATTAAAAAATATGGCTGGATTTTTTATTAAAAATTGTGATTGAATAAAAAAATTCGAATTAATAAGCGAAATAAATCGGAGTAAAATGGAATAAAAAAGCGTAAATGAAAGATAATGTAAAAAATACATTGAAAACATATAAATGTTGACGGAAAATGAAATATGTGAGTGAAATTTTTAATGAATGAATGAAGCGAAATAAAAAAGAATAAAAAACAAATTGAAAATAATTTTTTTTTTAATGAAAATTATGAATGCTTAGGAAAAATGTAAATGAATATTGCGTTAATGTATCATAAAAAAACCTAATTGAAAAAAAATGAAAATGAACAAAAGGAAATTAAAAAATCATGAATAATCGTAAATGAAAGATAATTTTAAAAAACACATTAAAAATATATAAATGTTGATGAGAAATGAATGTGAGTGGAATTTTTAATAAAAAATTTTAAAGCAAAATGAAGTGAAATAAAATCCAATAAAAAACAAGCAGAAAATAATTTTTGAAAAAGGAAGTAAATGAAAAAAATTAAAAACAAATAGAAATAACGAAAAAAAAAACATTTAAAACATATTGAAATTATGAATGCTTTGCCTTCCGGTGCGAAATCCCGTGAAACAAAACCAAAAAATCGAGAATGAAAAATCATATTTCTATTCATGAGTTCGAGCAAAAAATAGGAGATAAAAAAAAAGCCATTCAATTTCGTCTGAGATTTTTTCCCCCTTTTTCGAGGATTTTATTGGAGATTTTCTTTTTCATCTCCACGAAATTAATGAGAATAAAGGGAAGAGAGTCCTCTGGGGCTGATTGAAAAATAGAGGAGGCACAAGAGTTTTGCTGACGTCGATCGAAGGAGTTGAGAGGAAAAACGATTAGGAGAGGCTGAGCCACCAATTAACGCGATATCTCATCGGTTTTCAGTCTCACACATGTCTCAACTATATCACGGGAGTAATAAAAAGTTTAATCTATTTTTTGACGTCGAGAGGGTAGATAAGGGATTTTAAGAGGGAAGTGAACTGGGTTGAGTTGAATCTCACGATTTTTACTGCTGTTAAATCTTGAATTATCGCGATAACAAGTGGAATTAGAGAAAATTTTCACAAGAACTTTTTTTAGAGAATTAAATTTCCTACAGAAAATGTTTTACGAGTTTTTTCAATAAACTTCCGCATTACCGACATAATTGACAATTCAATAAATTTAAAAAATTGAAAATTCCTGAATTTAAACGAAATTGAATTATTCGGTGTTCTTAAATGTTGAATTATTGAGAGAACGAGTAAATTTAGAAAAAAACATCATAAATAATGATTTTTTGAGAATAAAATTTCCAATAACAAAAGTTCTGTGAAATTTTTCTCTAAACCCACTCATTACTGCGATAATTGACGACAAAGATGAAGTCGAAAATGAATCGCTTGAAAATTGGCTAAAATAAATTTGTTCTGATCTGTTAAATGTCTAATTATTTCGATAATGAGCGAAGTTAAAGGAAAACATCATAAGAACTTTTCACGGCGAATTTAATTCCCCACAAAAAATGTCTTATGATATTTTTCTCTAACCCCCTTCATTAGCGAGATAATTAACGATTCAAAAGATGTTAAAAACCGAAGAATCAAGAATTTTTACAAAACTGAATTTTTCCCTCTTCTTAACATCACTGGGACTTTATTTCCCTACGATCTTATCCTCAAGAAAACTTCCCCAGCGGAAAAAAACTCCACACACCCCTCACGAGGTAAAAAAACAGCGCAATATAAATAAAAACCCAAATCTCCACAAAAAAAGCAATCCAAAAAAATCGAAACTTGAAACGTATCGCCTATACGAGCCACCTGCGAGGGCTCATCCTCTGCATGAGAAGAGGCCGGGGGGGGGGGATGTTGCTATTACCCCTCTATATGCCTTTCTGGACTCTTCTCGTATCCATGGCAACCCTGCGAATCATGAAAGAGGGCTCTCGGCAAATAGAGCCACGTCACAATACTCTGCGTGTGCTTGTGGCGCGTCTCTCCGCGATGATAAAAAAAAACATTCAAAAAACTGTTTTTATCGATTCAGGACTCTCATTTTTCCTAATTAACGAAATGCAAAATGAAAAGATTTCCATTTTCTGCGAATTCTTTGGAAAAAAAATTGAAAATCTGACAAA